AGGAGGGGGGAGAGAGAGAGAGAAAATTCGGAAAATTCACATCCCCACTCTACTCTACCTGAATACTAACATTTATAGGTAAAGTTGATCCAGGGAATATCAGATTGCCTCTCGGGGGATCAGGAAGGAATTTTTTCCCTGCAGGAGCAAATTGGATCGTGCTTCTCTGAGTTTTTTTTGCCTTCCTCTGGATCAACTGTGGGTGTAGGATTATAACTTTTTTTTTGGTTGAACTGGATGGACGTTTGTCTTTTTTCAGCCAGACTAACTATGCAATTATACCTGCTGAGTGCTCCAGCTCTGAGGGCGGTGCCAGACCTTGCCATGGAAGCAGTGGTCTCTCTGCAGAGGCCTGACAAGCCCTCTTCAATCAGAAAAGATGCTCCCAGTTGATTGGAGAGCTCTAGCTTTGACTTAGCAGTCGGCGCTTCCACTAGGCAAACTAGGCGGCCGCCTAGGGCGCACTGCCACCTAGGGGCTCCTGGGCGCAGCACAGGCTGGCACTCTCTCTGTGTGGGATGCCGCCACAGCATGAATGATCCTGCAACTGAGGAGAGGGGAGGAAGAAAGGACAGAGGAAGATGCTCGGTGTCTGGGGCTGAGCCGCTGCTCCTTCCAGTGTTCCTCCCAGACTCAGTCCCTTACTGCAAGCCGGCTGGCAGCTGCTGATCACTGTGGAGTTCCAGCCCTTTTCTTCTGATTTATCAGCGAAGGGGGAGGAAGGTCATGTCTGACTCTGATGTCTCATGTCTTTGTGAGGGTGACCTGGCGGGCCGGCCATTATTATAATTATTATTATACAGGATTTATGGCACCAACAGTTTGCTCAGCACTTTATAATATAAAGGGAGACAATACAGCAACAATACAGTTCAATACAAGAGGGTTAGGAGGGCCCTGATCCTGGGAGCTTACAATCTATCCATCACATGTGCAATGTGTCAGTGAGTGAGGACACCATCCCGATCCCCCAGCCTGCTCTTCTAGTGCCTGCTGATCTGTGTCAGTGTTGGCGGTGGTGTGCTGTGTCGGATCTGTCACTGGGTGGGATCGCTCAGTTCAGCTGCCTTCTGTCACAGCATTTTACCACCCCCCATTGCCCCGGGAATTACAGCCTGGGATCTGTCAGCGTGTGGATCCGTCCTCCTCCACTCACTGCAACGGTCCCCCTGCCACTGCCAGCCACAGATACAGCTCATCCGTGACACTGACTTTGTCATTAATATTGGTGCCGGTGGCATCTTATGGCACTTATTTTTGCAAATTAAAAAGTTTTGCAGTTTCATGTTTTGTTGATGTAATATTTTCTACTGTTATTCTTTTTTTTTTTTTGGGGTGGGGGGCAGTAGCTGGTCTTGCCTAGGGTGCAAAATAGTCTAGCACTGGCCCTGCTTAGCATGCCGTCCCTCTGCAGAGAGACCACTGCTTCCACACAGCTCGCTTCCCCCTTTAACAACCATTCGGATGCTTCTTATCTCAAGTGCTCTGAAGAAATACTGTTCTGAAGTAGTCCGGAAGACCAGAGATTCCTCAGACACAACTGTCTTTCTCCAATGTAACTGACACTTGACATTCTATTAGCAAGCATTAAGGCTCCATTGGCACTTCAAAATTGTGCGACTTTCATTGCAACTTTACAGTGCGACTTTGGATGAGTGCGATTTCGGCTTTGACCAAGGATGACTGTTTATGCTGTACAAGGTCGCGCACAAGTTCGAATCCCAACCGCGGCACCACCTGCCTGGAGTTTGCATGTTCTCCCTGTAAATGATTCAATAATAACTGGTTGGAATTCAGTATAAATAACTCAGTATTAAATGATAAGAAGTTCATAAAATGAATATATAATAAAAGTTCATAAGGTGACAATATGTGTTCTTAAGGTGCCAACTCCAACGATACTTCAGTGCTTGTGTGAATGGGTGTAGTAAAGATTACGCACTCACCAGATGCGCAATAGAAATGCGCATATAAATATATAACCAGAGGTCCTCTTAAGGAAAACAGGGTAAGCCGGGTGATGGATTATCCTCCCTATGAATGTCGAGCGGCACAGCAGAAAACTCCAGGGCACTACTTCAATCCAAACAGCCAGAGGTCCCCTTTAAAGGGATGGATGGGTGTTGCAGCCTGACTTTACAGGGAATCCCCTCTCTGGATACTGGGATGGATCTTAATGCTTTGCTGGGCTCTGCAATTCAATTATTAGGGAGAGTTTTGTTGTCTATTTCGAATACACCAATGTCCTCTGCACGCCCCGTCCCTGAGGCCAGGCTTACCCTGTTTTCCTTAAGAGGACCTCTGGTTATATATTTATATGCGCATTGCTATTGCGCATCTGGTGAGTGTGTAATCTTACTACACCCATTCACACAAGCACTGAAGTATCCTTGGAGTTGGCACCTTAAGAGCACATATTGTCACCGTATAAACTTTTATTATATATTCATTTTATGAACTTCTTACCATTTAAAACTGAGTTATTTATACGGAATTCCAACCAGTTATTATTGAGTCATTTATACAGAGAATTTTTTATTGCTGCACTGTGATTTTATGAGTTTTATAAGGTTTTATTTGGTTACCTTTTGTGCAGAGCTGCTTTTATTAAATGCGCTCGCTGATCTTTACTTTTTTATGTTCTCCCTGTGCCTGCGTGGGTTTCCTCCGGGTATTCCGGTTTCCTCCCAGACTCCAAAGACATACTGGTAGGTTAATTGGATCCTGTCTAAATTGTCCCTAGTATGTGTATGTATGAATGTGAGTTAGGGACCTTAGATTGTACACCCCTTGAGGGTTGGGGACCTTAGATTGTTCGCCCCCTTGAGGGTTGGGACCTTAGATTGTTCGCTCCTGGAGGGTTGGGTACCTTAGATTGTACGCTCCTTGAGGGTTGGGTACCTTAGATTGTATGCTCCTTGAGGGTTGGGTACCTTAGATTGTACGCTTCTTGAGGGTTGGGGACCTTAGATTGTACACCCCAAGGGGCGGACTGACCATTTGGAAACTCGGGCACTGCCCGAGGGCCCGGGGTCAGTAGAAGGCCCCATGAGATGCCCCTGGTACCTTTTTCATAGGCTTTTTTGAGTTTGGGCAAGGACACAGGGGCCCCATGATCCGCTGTTGCCCCGGGGGCCCCATGATTTGTCAATCCGCCCCTGTACACCCCTTGAGGGTTAGGGACTGATGTGAATGTACAATATATGTGTAAAGCGCTGCATAAATAGCTGGTGCTATATAAGTATCTGAAATAAATAAGTCACGTTTATAACATTCAGGAGAGACTTTGGAGGGTTTACATTGAAGTCTATGGCCCTCAAGTTGCATGAAAGTCAGACCAAAGTAATGCAGGAACTACTTTTAAGTCGCTGGGACTTCAAGTCGCACAGATATGAATGGTACTCATTGGGGAAACACGGGGTGGACCCCAAAGTCGCATACTAAGATGCACAAGTGGGAATGGGCTCTAAATGACCTGCAGACAAGGCTTTTTGTAACTAAGTTGTCATTTACGTTTGCGAGTAGAAAAGCCTGTCCCCTTCCAGCATGACCTTTACTCTCTGCATGGAAGCAGTGGTCTCTCTGCAGAGGACTGACAAGCCCTCCGCAATCAGGAAAGATGCGTCCAGTTGGTTGGAGAGCTCTAGATTTGACTCAGCAAGGGGCCTATCCAGGGGCGGACTGACAACTCATGGGGCCCCCGGGCAATAGGGAATCATGGGGCCCCTATGTCCTCACCCACACTCAAACCACACCCAAAAAAGCCTATGAAAGGTACCAGGGGTGTCTCAGGGGGCCCCCTACTGACCACGGGCTCTCGGGCAGTGCCCGTGTTCTCCAATGGTCAGTTCATCCCTGGGCCTATCATACCTCTGCAGAGAGGCCACTGCTTGCTGTACATATAGAAAATAAGGGTTCCACTCTGCAGCATGCTGGCAGGGGATGGGCTTTTCTATTCAGGCTGTGGCTGCTTTCTAAAGAAAACACACTGTAAGACTTTGCAGTAGAATTGGGTGGGGAAGGATTTGGATCCCCTATTGGGTCTTTCCTTTAACCGGGGCTCTGAGAGACGTACCCTCACTTGCTGTCAATGTTTTACTGGACAAGAGGTTGTTTTACAGTTTGCTTGGTTTTAGAAAGCAGCCCCAGCCTGGGAAGAAAAGCCTCTCTTTTGCCAGCAAGCTGTAGAGAAGGACCCTTGTTGGAACTGTCACCAACATTGGAAGTTAGTGATAATTTCCAAGAGCAACTAAAACCTGAGAGGGGTTACAACCCTTCCCTACTCTTTTCAACAGGAAGAAAAAAAAGTTCTCGCGTGATCTACACCTTAATGGTAAAGTCGAATCAGCTTACATTTTGCTTTCCCTGGTTCCTCCCTTCTCGCTCATCAACATGCTAAGGAATAAAAAAAAAAAAATGCATTTTCTTTACACATCTTAATTTAGATCCAGTGTTGTCATCACTGGGGCTCTATGCTTTTCTATGCAATGCAGGCAGATCGTGGCAGGTGGAAGGGGTCTGAAGAGTGCCATACATAGTGTCCTGAAACCATCGCAGCACCCTGGCTCAGTACACCGCTCAAGAACCCTCAGCCGTGATGCCACCAGTGGGCTGGCACATAGAAGGAGTTATGCCTTGATGGGCGGGTGCCAGTCGGGAGGAGAGGGCGTTCCTAGGCAGCTTGTATTTGCATAAGTAACGCCCACATGTGATGATGAGCCCCCATGATTGAAAGAATCAAAATCCAATGAATGAAAATGTCCCAGAGACAAAGGAAAGATTGAGGTAATGCTGGACATCCCCCAGCCAGGAAATGAGGCGGAGCTCTATCTGACTTGCTGCAGCTTCTAATACACATTGTGAGAAGTTCACAGTGTGCGGTGAAATCAGAGGAAGCCATTTCAGTCCAGGGGAGGATCCGGTACACCTGTGCAAGACTGAAGGGGAGGAGGTGGTACACCTGTGCAAAACTGGAGGGGAGGAGGTGGTACACCTGTGAAAGACTGCAGGGGAGGAGCCGGTACACCTGTGCAAGACTGAAGGGGAGGAGCCAGTACACCTGTGCAAGACTGAAGGGGAGGAGCTGGTACACCTGTGCAAGACTGAAGTGGTGGAGTGGGTACACCTGTACAAAACTGAAGGGGAGGAGCCGGTACACCTGTACAAGACTGAAGGGGAGGAGCTTGTACACCTGTACAAAACTGAAGGGGAGGAGCCGTACACCTGTACAAGACTGAAGGGGAAGAGCTGGTACAACTGGGCAAGACTGAAGGGGAGGAGCTGGTACACCTGTACAAAACTGGAGGGGAGGAGCCGGTTACACCTGTACAAGACTGAAGGGGAGGAGCTTGTACAACTGGGCAAGACTGAAGGGGAGGAGCCGGTACACCTGTACAAGACTGAAGGGGAGGAGCTGCAAGAGTGAAGGGGAGGGGCCAGTACACCTGTACAAGACTGAAGGGGAGGAGCCGGTACACCTGTGCAAGACTGAAGGGGAGGAGTCCGTACAACTAGGAAAGACTGGAGGGGAGGAGCCGGTACAACTAGGAAAGACTGGAGGGGAGGCCGCGGGGGGGGGGGGGGAAGGGAATTTAAGCGCTATAATGCCAACTGCAGAAGATTGTAATATCAGCTTCAATAACTTTAACAATGTAGATAGAAAAAACAAATCCTGAGAATTAATCAGCATTCTTTACCTAGAACCTCAGATGATATTAAGTCGGAGGACACAGAGCCACGTATTTACATTTTTCCTCGCTGCAATTATTTTTGAATATCTTTGCAGTTCGGAATAAATGAGCTTCTTATTTTGAGAAGTGTGGGAAAATATCCCAAATCTGAAACTCGTTAATACAACCACTAATTATACTCTATTTCTGTAACATTTCTGTCCCCCAAAAGGGAGGAGAAGGAGCCGAGTACGACACTGTCAGGAGAAAATGAAGCCGGCTAATTGTATACAAGTATAAGAGGAACCGCAGAAAATGTGGAGGTGTACCAACTCTGAAGAGTTCAAAACATAGTTCTCTTGGAGCTGTTTAAAGTATAATTCCATCTTTGCTATCACTTTAAATAGTTTGCTTGGGCCAAGCTGACCACGGGGTCTGGAAGAAGGAGGAAGCCAGCGTCAGGCCAAACTGGCCAGCCAGGTCTTCCTCAGGGGGTTGCTGCCCAGGTCACGTTGGCTGCAAGATCCTGGAGAAGGGGGAGCTGGCCGATTCTCCAAGACTTGTGATGTTGTACCTATCCAACTGGCTGTTACTGAACTCGGCTTGTGACCTGACTCCGTGCTTCTGCTCATCTCACCTTAGTACTTCCAAGCTCAAGTTTACTGGTCCAACTTCCCAGAACCTGCACCTTTCCGCTGTCCTAGCAGTCCCCACTACCAGGGGTGCTTGGACAGGAATTGTGCAAGAAGCTACCTTCATCATCTCCAGCTCCACACAGGGCCGTCTTAACACACAGGGGCCCCAGGTGCATGCAGTCCCACCCTTACCCCACAGCAGGGGGAATCACCATTGGACAGAGAAGGTGGTCAGTGTGGCGGGTGGGGGAAATGATTGGATCTCATCCTTCCTCCTGCTGGCTTTAACTGCTGTAGAGAAGATCGACTCTAGTAATTTCCCCCACTGGCCACACTGATCACCCCCTCTGTCCACATGCAATGCCCTCTTCTGCCCGGGCCCCTACTGTGTGCCCCCTGCCGTGTGCCTGCCATGCAATGATCACTGTTTAGACCCCTGATATCTCACCAAAGACCCCCAACAGTGTTGTGAAAAAAATTTAAAAAATATTTACACAATAATAGAAATAAAAAAAGTGTTACAAAATAATTAAAAATTAAAAAAAATATTAAAAGCTGTGTGTAGAGAGAGTGGGGCAGTGTGAACAAGGGAGGAATTTAATTTCTGATAAGTCCCTGGTTAAGTTTCTAATAAGACTAAAAAACCACGCCCAATATGAAGCATAATTTAGCCACACCCACTTTTTTTGCCACTGTGCACATAGAACACCGCAGGCAGTGCTGTCCTAATTGCATCATGGGCCCCTGGGCAAAGTAATTCACTAGGCCCCCCACCAGCCTGCATCAGGTGTCCCCATCCATCAGGTATCCCCATACATCAGGTGTCCCCATCCATCAGGTTTCCCCATATATCAGGTGTCCCCATTCATCAGGTATCCCCATACATCAGGTGTCCCCATCCATCAGGTATCCCCAGATATTAGGTGTTCCCATCAGAGTGCCCCCTTATATCAGGTGTCCCAATCACATTGTCCACATACATTAGGTGTCCCCATCGCAGTGTCCCCACCAATCAGGTGTCCCCATCACAGTGTGCCCATCCATCAGGTATTCCCATCACAGAGTCCCCACCAATCAGGTGTCCCCATCCATCAGGTGTTCCCATCAGAGTGCCCTCTTATATCAGGTGTCCTCATCCATTAGTTGTCCCCGTCATAGTGTCCACATACATCAGGTGTCCCCATACATCAGGTGTTCCCAACATAGTGCCCCCTTATACCAAGTGTCCTCATCCATTAGGTGTCCCCGTCACAGTGTCCCTATACATCAGGTGTTCCCATCATGGTGCCCCCATACATCAGGTGTCCCCATCACAGTGTCCCCATACATCAGGTGTTCCCATCATAGTGCCCATTATATCAGGTGTCCCCATCACAGTGTCCACACACATCAGGTGTTCCCATTACATTGCCCCCTTATATCAAGTGTCCCATCCATCAGGTGTCCCCGTCACAGTGTCCACATACATCAGATGTTCCCATCATAGTGCCCCTGTATATCAGGTGTCCCCATCCATCAGCTGTCCTTGTCACAGTGTCCACGCACATCAGGTGTCCCCATCACAGTGTCCCCATACATCAGGTGTTCCCATCATAGTGCCCCCTTATATCAGGTGTCCCCATCACAGTGTCCACGCACATCAGGTGTCCCCATCACAGTGTCCCCATACATCAGGTGTTCCCATCATAGTGCCCCTTATATCAGGTGTCCCCATCACAGTGTCCACACACATCATGTGTTCCTATTAGATTGCCCCCTTATATCAGGCATCCCCATCCATTAGATGCCCCCATCACAGTGACTCCATGTATCAGGTGTCCCCATCATAGTGTCCACATACACCAGGTGTTCCCATTAGAGTGCCCCCCTATATCAGGTGTCTTCATCCATCAGGTGTCCCCATCACAGTGTCCACATACATCAGGTGTCTCCATCACAGTGTCCCAACACATCAAGGTGTTCCCATCATAATGCCCCCTTATATCAGGTGTCCCCATCCATCAGGTGTCCCCGTCACAGTGTCCCCATACATCAGGTGGTGTTCCCATCATAGTGCCCCCTTATAGCAGGTGTCCCCATCACAGTGTCTCCATGTATCAAGTGTCCCCATCAGAGTGCCCCCTTATATCAGGTGTCCCCATCTATCAAGAGACCCCGTCACAGTTTCCACACACATCAGGTGTTCCCATAAGAGTGAGCCCTTATATCAGGTGTCCCCATCTATCAGGTGACCCCATTACAGTACTCCCATCCAACAGGTGTCCCCATCACAGTGTCCCCTCACAGCAGGTGACCCCATCTCAAGTTGTGTCCCCCCCCTTCCCTCTTGTACTCACAGCCGCCTGCAATGAGAGCAACTTCTCCTTCCTCTCCTGCGCTGAGACTGAGGTGAGTTCTTAGCAGGGGCGGACTGACCATTTGGAAACTCGAGCACTGCCCGAGGGCCCGGGGTCAGTAGGGGGCCCCATGAGATCGCCCTGGTACCTTTTTCATAGGCTTTTTTGAATTTGGGCAAGGACACAGGGGCCCCATGATCTCCTATTTCCTGGGGGCCCCATGAGTTGTCAGTCCACCCCTGGTTCAGTCTCAGAGCTGGCTCTCTTCTGCCTCCTTCAGGACAGTAGAAAAAAAAAATGAATCCTCTCTCCTGCTGAATCCAGCCGCTGCACCTTCTGACAGGAGTGACCATCGCAGTTACTCCTGTCAAATAGGAACAGAACAAGCAATGGAAGCGCCAGTGCGCCCCCAACGCAGCACTCGGGCCCCCTCCCCCTTGTCCAGGCCCTGATCATTCATTAAGAGGTCACCATTTTCCCGATAGGGGCTCCATTGCATTACTTTACCCCGGAGGCCCATGATGCTTTTAGGCTGGCACTGGATCCACAGTCAGGTACGTGACAGGCAGCTCACATATAGTTCTCCTTTCCTGCAGACGTGACCTTTTCATGTATGATTCAACATCATGTAATAATAAAGTCATTCCCGCCATAGACATCAGGCATTAGCATCCAGTCTATCATTTGTCATAGGAAATGTAAAATACATGCAGATGAATTAAGAATGGGGCCAGTGATTAGCGGCACGAAGAGCCTCGTCTCCTCCCGCCTAGACCCCGGTAATCACATCAGCGTAATTCTGTCCCCTCTGATGTACACTTAACCGCTCAATCGCCGCGCCAAAGTCTGAGAGCCCCGGCAATGCGAGTCCTTTCATCTGCACGGCTCCGCGTCTTGACCTGTTTTTTTTTTTTTTTTTTTTTATAGTGCTTGTTGACAACTCGGAGGCAACAAATAGGGGATGAGCCAGAAAAGTGCTTTCGAATGAGAAGTCCTGACATATTAAATTAGCTGGAATCGCACTGAGGTGTTCTCTCCCGGCTTACACTGTAAAAGCATCCGCTACAAGGAAGATCAATTTATAAAAAGGATTAGAACTTTCTACTTTGACAAAATGAGAGAAAGGGAAAAAAAAATCGCTCTCAGGCAGAAAGGTTTGTTGTGCGGCTTCCAAACGAGCAGAAGGCTGCAATTCAACAATCCTTGCTTGTGATTTTATCTCCGAGCCAGGTTTGTTTTAAAGTGTTAGTAAACCCCGGACCCTGCATTTTCTATATCCTCTCTCCCCGGACCCTGCATTTTTTATATCCTCTCTCCCCGGACCCTGCATTTTCTATATCCGCTCTGCGTGGACCCTGCATTCACTATATCCGCTCTCCACGGACTCCGCATTCCCTATATTTGGTCTCCCCGGACCCTGCATTCACTATATCTGCTCTCCCCGGACCCCAAATTCACTATATCCGCTCTCCCCGGACCCCAAATTCACTATATCCGCTCTCCCCGGACCCCAAATTCACTATATCCGCTCTCCCTGGACCCCGCATTCTCTATATCCGCTCTCCCCGGACCCTGCATTTTCTATATCCTCTCTCCCCGGACCCTGCATTCTCTATATCCGCTCTCCCCGGACCCCGCATTTTCTATATCCGCTCTGCGTGGACCCCGCATTCACTATATCTGCTCTCCCCAGACCCTGCATTCACTATATCCGCTCTCCACGGACCCCGCATTCACTATATCCGCTCTCCCCGGACCCCGCATTCACTATATCTGGTCTCCCCCCGCATTCACTATATCTGGTCTCCCCAGACCCCGCATTCTCTTTATCTGGTCTCCCCGGACCCTGCATTCACTATATCCGCTCTCCCCGGACCCTGCATTCACTATATCCGCTCTCCCTGGACCCCGCATTCACTATATCCGCTCTC